GGTGTGAAAATGGGACGCCTCTGGCTGCCGCCACTTCCCCATCACCCGCTGACGTCCTTGGCCTATCCGGAACAAAGCTCCATAGCTGTGGCGATGGTGGCCAGGGAGGTGAAAATGGAAAGCCACTGCTGCTCTGCACTCTGCCCACCCACTCACTCAACCAGCTCTTCTTTTGGCTAGATGCAGCAAATTGTCCCCGCGGCGAGTTGGCCATATGGAGTTGTCCCAGTGGTGGGCTGCTGCCGGTTCAGACCAGCTTGCCCATACAACCACTGGTTGGGCCCAACCAACCGCCCAGGAGCTATCCTGTCCTATATATCTCAGCTTTTTGCTCGTGCGCTTGCAGCCTAGCTCCTTTCTGCACCTCGCCTGATCTACTCACTTGGCTGCCATGCACAGGAAATTCCCTTGGTTTTGCAACCACGCGCAAGCGCAGATGGTGCACACAAAGGGAGCGTACACACATGCTCTCACATTTGCAGCAAACCAGTTGTTAAAGTATGTGCAGCCCACCTCTGAGTTGTCCTGTGATGACTTGGCGGGTGGGTTGGCAGAGGCAACTTTGCAGCGGAGAGCTGCTAGTGGCAAGCTGGCCGTTGCAAGCTGTCCCATTCCATAGCCAGCATAATTACTGGTGATTGTGACTAGGAATGGTAAGAATTGCAGTCGGAGCTATCTGCAACATACTTGATTAGTAACCAAATAAGTTCTGATAAACTTCATTTTGTGTGCTGACCTCTCCTCCCCACTAACTTTTATTTTCACTTTTGCTTAATCATATCTTGCCATACGTGCAGATCTGAATAGTTAATATTAATATTAATATTGATATTAGTAAGCCAGCTTCCAAAACCTGTATGACATTGGATATTCTTCAATTACTCAAAAATATTTTAGCTGGCTTAGAGATCAGAAATAAAATACCTACCTCCACCCTTATTTGACTAATTTATTTACAAATTGTCCTGAACCAGTAAATCCATTTTTCATGTTTTAATATTGTGTAATTGAAAAATTATCAGTCATATAAGATTAATGTGCTTCATTTTTTTAAAAGAAGTTATTTTCTTGGGGGGAAATAGCAAATATGTTCAATATAGAAATGGGCTTTATTTAATGTACCGTCATGCTACATAATCCATTGTTGTCTTTCATTTCTGTGACTGGGAATGATCCATAACTGTTTTTCCACTAGAGAAGTCAGCCAAACCTCATTGCAATAATATACACGGGAAGTATAATCCCTTTAAATAATTGGGGTGGTGTCATCAGGTAAATCATTTTGTCTCTTTCTAAAGTACATAGAGGTATAATACGCGGTTCTCATTTTAAAAATTACATTCATGCAAGGGATATTCAAAATTGGCTGATACCCTAATCTTTACAAAGATTATTATTCTTTACAATGTTCTCAGCCTGTGTGTAAGACACCCTTTTTTCTTTTTTAAGATTACTGCTGTGGAAGAAAAGGCCAATGCAATGTCCAACTCACTACACATTTTCAATGCCATTAGTGGGACAGCAACAAGCACAACAGTTCATGGGATGCCCAGCTCTTCTTCAATTGCATAACTGTCTTATACGTGAAAGTACCTTGACTTTGGAACAAGAGGGTTTGGGGATGGCTTGCTAACTCAGGATGAAATAAAAAATCGTGAAAGAACTATGCAGATTCTAGTTATTGTATCAATCAGGTATAAAGAAATAAGACATCAAAAATGCACATATTTTTATATTATGCTTGCAATATTATATGTTCTGAGAAGTATTTAGGAAAACTGATCGCATAAGGATTTCATGAAGTGAATGGCACAATGTAGGCAGATTTGGAACGTGTGTAGACACAAACTTATGAGAGTGTTGCTGAAGTTATGCACATATCAACTGATAAAAGTATTAACCACTATGAACTAAATAAGCACTAAATAGAGGTGTTAATGTAAGTAGAAGTAGGTTTTTATAATGTCGACTAACAGTTGTGCTCTATTTTATAACTTACTGGCATTTTGGAGAGCTTATAAGCTTAAAATGAATCAAGTATTTACTTCCAATCAATGGTGACTATATGATATTATCTTAAACGATAAATGTAAAAGTTTGTTAATACAGCTTATAAGATCTATATAAATGTATTGCATTTTAAATATTTTTAATATTCATACTCACTTTCATCCTTTTACAGTTGTGATGGATTCATGTTCATTCCAAGTAAATGCTCTATTTTCTTTTACATTTTATTTGTATATATAAAGTGCAATATGAAGTTGTATACACTTTCTGTAACATTATGCACTGTTAAAAAAAAATACCTAATTTTGCCAAAGTGGTGGAATATAAAAGTGGTGATGACTACTGTGGAAATGGTGATGTAATTTAAGGCTTTTGCTGTGTTGCTTAAAGACATGAATAATTTTATACCTGAGAAAGATAAAGGTTTTAATTTTATTTAACTGGAATCACTGTCCTGCTGTAATTAAACATTATGTATAACATCTATATTTTTTAAAAAATTAATTTATGTGCAATTTATTTGGATCTTTTTATTTTGCAAAACAAATCACTAAAATCAAGTATTACATTATTTTAATAAATAATATTTTCATATTCTTTTTTGACATATTTGGTTTAGGTTTGTGCTATTCTTAAGATTTGCAATAAATGATTCTACTCATATGTGTCACTTGGAAATTCTGATTTATTATGTAGAGATGTTGATAGAAATTATTACCATAGCTAGATTTCTTGGTGTTTAAGATAGTTGTTTAAATTCCTTGATGTATGCATTAGAAACTTAATGATTTCCTACTATTCTGTTTTTAGAATAACTTTAATTTATGCAAAATTCAATGTTGGCTACCATTATATGGCTTGTATTTTTAATTAGTGAAGAGCCCAGATCCAGCTGAATTACAGAATATTGAAGGAACTTGCTGAATATCTGGTTGAACTTTATACATTTTGATCCTGGACAATGAATAAAATGCCAAACAAAATCTTCAAAAATGGGAAAAGGGAAGATCAAGAGAACTAGATTGCTCAAACTGATATGGATCTAAGAAATTTCCAAAGCAGATAAGATATTGACCAATATGTATTTTCAAAATAATATAATTGCCAGAAAATACTAGAAGAAATCTCATCAGATTTCTTTAAAGTCACTAGGAATCATCAGAAATTTGTTTATATACAACATTAGCAGGAAATTTTCTTTTTTAAGATGTATTAAAAAAATAAGTAAAGCTCAGACAATGTCATGGGCTACATCAAAAACAGCTAAATCAGGAAATAAGGCAAAGCATAAATAATTAAGTATGTGAATAAATGAAGCGACTGCTGTATTTTTCTTGTCATCAAGTAACAGAGTCCAAGTGCTGAAATTTACTTTTCTTCTCACCTCTTTGCAGTCCTGCATCTTATGGGCTAAAATCTAATTATGTCACAGTTTCACATGGCTAAATTCCAAGGTAAATAATAAAAGGGGCATAATTCCTACAGTAGATGAAGGGCTGATCGTTCCAAATGCTTTTGTGAGGAAAGATATATATGCAGGTGGGAATGTTAACATGGCATTCTCTCTGTGATTTGTAAAGGGATTTCCTCTGCATGCTTAGCCCTTTTCATCCAAGTAATCCTGCTTCTAATAATTGCCTGATAAATCAACTGGGTTACCTAATCATGTAGAACAGCGGATGTCCAAATATGTTGTGACACACAGAGCCTGCTTAATCTGTCCTTTTATTGTTGATCTATTACTGTAGTCTTACATTTGCAGTTTCACTGACACATTTTAAGAAGGAGCACACCCTTCAAAGTATTTCACATCTGGACAGGCAAAACTGGTTGCTGGATATTGCCTGTCCTACATCTTTAGTTTCTCTGATGTTGACTTTACACACTAGAGGTTGCTTTCCGCAAAGGCCAGCAACTGAATGAAAAAAGGAAGGGGATTTTAAATTGACACTGCAATCCAGCTGAATTGATATCTTTATTTACATGGACTGTGATAGAAACCTACAGAGAAAAAAAAATACAACATACTTATTATTAGTCATATAGTTAACAATATTGGGATTTAATGCTTATTTTATTGTTTTTTATTATACTAAGCACACCTCAAAGGAAAAAATATAGTTAAATTGTTCGTAACATTTCAATGACAATATATTCCCCAGCCTTTCATTACTGCTCCAGCTTTTGCCTGTAATTTCAAACTACCAGCAGTAAAGATACAGGTAGTCCTCAACTTATGACCACATTTGAGCCCAACATTTCTGTTGCTAAGTAAAACACTTGTTGCGGCTTGCCCTGTTTTGCAATCTTGCCACAGTTCTTAAGTGAATCACCACAGGTGTTAAATTAGTAACCCAGTTGTTAAGTGGATCTGGCTTCCCCACTGACTTTGCTTGTCAGAAAGATGCAAAAGGTGATCAGATGATCCCAGGACACTGCAACCATCATAAATATGAGTCAGTTGCCAAGAGCCTGAATTTTGAACACATGATCATGGGGATGCTACAATCGTTGTATGAAAAACGGTCATAAGTAAATTTTTTCAATGTAACTTCGGTTATTAAACTGTTGTTAAGTCAAGAACTACCTGTATTTTTTCCCTCATTAGCTAGCAATATTGAATGAAAGGAATCTGTTCAAAGTACCAATACCTAGCCCAGTGGTTCTCAACCTTTTCTTCACCATGGACCCCTTTTAAATAACTTCTGTGGGCAAGGACCATGGCCATGGACCTCCAAGACTTAACTCTAAATCATAACATTTCTTCAAGCCTTCGTGGACCCCCCGTGCCAATATCAAGCCCCCCCCCAGGGGTTCATAGACCATAGGTCTTAACGTTGCCAAGTTTGGGGACCTCTGCAGTAGAGAGAAGTTCCCTGAAGATAGGCTCTTCGGGGAACCCGGGAAAAGTACACCTCTGGTCCCAGTGATTGACCCAGATTCAATCTTGCAAAAAATAGTAAACTCAAGCACAAAATGGAGAAAATTTACGTGTACCATAGAATTAGACTATGTTTTCATATTTCTTCAATTAACCTAACCAAAATATGACAACTTTGTCATGACGAATTATTGTTGAAGTGGAGGTAATATAGAAGTATCAACAATAGTACAGTGTAAATCATATGCCATATGCTAAATAAAAAATAAATAAAACTTACAGTAATTCTGGCCTAGCAATTAAAACTTTATATTAAAAGAAATCTAAATTTTAGATGGTACAAACTCCTATTTAGTATTTTAAGGCAAAAATGGTTTTTAAGTTGAATTAAACTGGTGTCAGATTTACCTTTAAATACAAAGTTTTGGGCATGAAGGCATACTCTCAGAGTTAATTAGCCACTTTTTGCACAAGAAATTGTCCATACTTTTTGATTGGAATCATAGAATATACTTAAAACAATAGACATGTATAATTCAACATACAATATTTTGTAAGATTTAGTCATTTTTAACTAAAAATAGATTGTAAAGGTAATTCAGGTTTTAACGTTTGTTTTAGCTTCTTTTCTTTTTATCTGATGCCTTTATTTTCTTCAGAATTGAAAACAAGCTGAGATAAATATTTAACTGTTATATAAGAAATTAAAGAGACAAGTAATTATAAATTTATTAGACCTACTTTTTAGAATGTAGGTAAGTAGAACTGAATTATTTCTTGGAATCTGCCCATCATCTTGCTCTATAACCTTAATTTAATAGTGATGATTCATATTTGGTGTTTTCATTTTCAGTTATTAGAGATTTTAAAAATTCTTATGCAGATCTTTAAGCCTTTCTTAGAGATTTACAGATATTATACCTGAACTGGAAATTTAAATTTAGGTTAAATTTAATCCTATGTATTGAAGTACAGGCTTGTGAAATTGCATGATGATGATGTCTCATTGAAATGTCTTGCTTTTTTAAAAAACTTTTTTGATGCTTTGCTGAAAGAGGAATTTCCAATTTAATTTTTAGAAAATTTAGTCATACCTTGACCTCAACAAATGCAATATGACTTCTTTTCAAGTAAGTTATCTTCTCGTTCCAAATGTATAAAACATCCAAATGTTTTCCCAAATCCAAGACACTCATAGGATATCAATAGTTTTTTTTCTCTATCTAAACAAGTTTATATATATGAATTTATTCTTATATTGGGACATTGGTCTGACTTACAGTATTTGTTGCTACTTCTCTGAGGTTTTACGAAACAACATAACATGTACTTCTTTGGCAGAGATGTTGTAGTAGTGACTTTCTCCGAAAGTCTCTTCCGTATTGATTACAAATCCCAGAAAAATATGCTGGTTCCTCTCTAACAGGGTTCCTCTTGCTGTCATCCATGACATTCTACATTCCAACTAGCACCTAGGCGTTTCCTTATTCTATCTTTTCCTTATTCTATCTCCACTTTCCGGAACACAGGGATGTACAGCCTCTTAGCATTTCAGGTTTTGCTGAACCAACACTACCCAACCAGGACTGACAGGGAACTGGGAGTTGTAATTCTACCTTTAGGGCACTTCCATTCTCTATCTGAAGCAGTCAAGTTGATCCATTATCGCTGTCTGATATGTCAAGCTTGAAGTGCTGACAATGATGAGCAAACATCCTGTCCTGCTCCAAATTTATTTATTTATCATGTTTAAGAACCACCCTCAGAAAGGGATTCTGAGCAGTGTACAAATAAAACATCAAAAGCATAAAAAACAGCATATAACATTTAAAAGAGACAAATATTAAAAATCAAACCCCTCCCCCCACATAGAATCAAAAATCATCTCATTCTGTTCATGAAGACAGATGGTTATTATGTGATCACAGGAGTTCCTTTGTGGTTGGCAGAGTCCATTTGTGGAAATGTGCTTATAGACTCCAAGATCTTCACCTTCTTTTTAAAAATGCATCAAAATGGGGAAAAGGGATAAATTCTCCCCTGATTTTAATTGAATAGAAGCTGCTGGCTGCAGTTGCTTTTGGGAAATGCCCAGCTGACTGAGAGCAAAAAGATTCATTACTAGGGTAGTAGGATTTATTTCCGTGCATGAGGCATGTTTTTGTTTGTCTTCTGCCTCTGCAGAACAGCTCTGAGTTCATACCTTTATCTCCAATTAGGATTATGTAATTGCAATTATATTTTAAAACGTTTAAAACTTTTAAAAGTGAATTCCAATATGGGTACAATAAAGGTATCTACAGGGTATCTATTCCTATGATCTGCAGTATCTACAGAGTATCTTGTTAGATTAGGGTGTCCACTTCTCAAAATCCTGGCTGGGTTCCCACATAACCAAAAGGAGGGATATTCCCCCATATAAATCTAGGAGACTTCAGCACCTGGCCTACTTTCCAAAACATTCCAGATATCCCACAAGCCAACAACCTGCATTCTCTCTCAGGTCACCTCAAAGTAGCAGACAGCTGATGCTGAACTTTGAGATGAGAAAGGGAGGAGGAAGAGGTGGAATAGGCGGACTGAGGCTGCATCCTGGCTCAGGAGGCAAAGAACATCCTTTTGGTGGGTTATTCATTTCTGTGACTATGTCATTCCTGCCACATAGCCTCCTGACAGAAATGCAAAAAAGAATAATCAACTGCCAAAACCAGTCTGATCTAGTGGTTAAGGCATCAGGCTAGAAACAGAAGACCATGAGCCAGGGGTGGGATTCTACCAGTTCGGACCAGTTCTATAGAACCGATTGTTATGATTCTGCGCAGTTCGGAGAACTGGCAAATCATGCCCCTGGCTGGCCCCTCCCCTCTCTGCCCGCCGCTCCCCGCCCAGTCAGTCTTTATCACGCATGCGTGACATCGCGTGCATGCCTGACATCGCTGACTGTGTTCTCCCCCTCCCAGTCACTCTTTAAGGTATTTCTTTTTTCCCCCCTCCTGATGATCAGCTGTTCCTATGATCAGCTGTGCCGGGATTCCCCTCGCTGTCTTACTGCTTTGCCCAGGAAGCTTCCCTGAGGCCCAGAAGGCCCAAAAAATGGGGGGCTGCCAAAAAGGAAGCCATGCCCACCCAGTGACATGACCACACCCACCTAGCCACGCCCAGAGAACCGGTTGTTAAAATATTTGAATCCCACCCCTGCCATGAGCCCAAGTATCACCTTAGCCATGAAAGCCAGCTGGGTGATCTGGGGGCCAGTCACTCTCTACCCAAATAACCTCTCAGGATTGTTGTTGTAGGAAAAATAGAAGGAGGAAGGTATGTTGGATACGTTCGTCACCTTGAATTGTTCATAAAAATAATAAAGGCAGGATATAAATAAATACAAATTAAATAAACTGGGAGAGGGACATGAGGAAAAGGAAGCTCTACTTCCAAAGGCATTGAATAAGGAACCCCAGTCTTGTTATTTACAATGCACGCTAGGAAGTAAGGTGGAGACTAGCAAGACAACTGGACAACCAGAATCTAGAACAAGAACAAGCATCACTGGGGAAGAAACATACTATACCTTTCATGACTCCTGGAGCAGAGTAACATCAAACTTGGTAAGTGCATACAGCAATGAACAAGAGACAGCAGACCTCCAACCAGAGGTCTTGCAACACATTCTGAAAGGCAAGAGGAAAAGACACTTTCACCTCGCCTTACCTATTGTCCCTGGTTATCTGCATTCATTGGCTCTTAAACCCCAAGGCCATTTCACATATTTTTGCAGAAAAATCTGAAAAGGAGAAGAGGCAAATAAAGGGAAAGGACTCCAAAAGAAGCCATATATTCCCCTTTAGGTTATTGAAGATGAAAGCGGACAATTGAGTCTAAGAAAACTCCAGACATGGAAATATCCTGGTGGATATAAGGAAAAGGCTGCAAAGGCACTTCATAGTATTATATAGCAGGGGTGTCAGACTCAAGGCCTGGGGGCTGGATCTGCCCCACGGGGTGCTTAGATCTGGCCCACCCTGGAAAAAGCGAAGGATTGGCCTGTGGTGCTTTTGCAAAATTGAGCTCAGGAGTGCCGCACATAGCCCTCCTGAGCTCCATTTTTGCTGGCAGAGGGTTGTAGGAGGCTGTCGCTGCTGAAAACAGAGCTCGGGAGACCGTTTTCACTGGCAGAGTGCTCGGGCCTACGGGCACCCCCAACACAAGTGACGTTGAGCAGGCCCCGTGCACCCTGGCCACGCCCACCCCAGCCCCCCAAAGTCAAACATAACCCTGATGCGGCCCTCAATGAAATCGAGTTTGACACTCCTGGATTATGGCATGGAAACTAAACCTTATTTCCTGGTACAATGTTTCCATTTATTGCAGCTATAACCCCATGATTCCCATTGTCCTAGTACACTATCAATAGCTAGGCCGTCACAGAGGTTTTCTGACAAATGTCAGACCATCTATCTCTTCTACTTTCCTCCAAGTTCCCATTAGTCTCTTACCCTTCCAGTGCTTCAGATTGTACTGCAATGGCAACAGAGCTCATTCCAGACCTTTGATCCTGGAATGGTTCAGGTCCTGCTTTTAAAGCTTTATAACCCACTGTTTGTCAGTTCTTTATTATGATTTCTCTTCAAGTTCTATCTTGGCACATGATCTTTTGGGCTGGAGTATTTAATATGTGCTACTGCTAATGGCATGAGTGTAGTTCAAGGCCAGAGAGTAAAGTTAACTTTGTGTACTTTGAGCCTCTTTCACTTGTGCATTACAGAGACTGCTTGGCAAGGCAAGTTTCCAGCCCTTCAATGCAATTTAAAGTCACATCATTCCTCTTTGCCATGTGGAAGTATAGGGAAGTATAGGTTCCTTCCAGATTGTATACATTTAGAAGTGCCTTTAATTACCTTAGAGGTGTCTGTGGCCACTATCTGCTGGAAGAACGCAGTGACTGGGGTGATAGTAGATCACTAAAATGGATCCAATGAAAGAGTAGTCAAGTCAAACATCAGTCAACATTTCCTTTGAGGGCCACCCTACAGTATTGGAGAGCTTGTTATATGCAAATGAAATATGTTATATTTCAACTCTGCCCACCTGCAAACAGGCCACTACATTTTGCACTAGCTAAAGTGTCTAAGTAGAAAAATGTAGGAAGTTTCATCATTTAGCTTTCAGAAAAAAAATATCTGTTTCAATCGATTCAAAGTATCCAGGAAGAAAGATATGTAGTGCCTAAAATTTGTGAACTCTTTTGAATTTTTAATACTACTGCATAAATATGATCTAAAACATGATCTGTTCTCCACCAAGTCCTAAAATTAAACAAACGAGTCAAAATATTTATGCTTGTTCATTTATTTATTGGGGACAATGATCCCAAGCTGCTACATATTGTTCAGTAATAGACAGATGTGAGCCTCTAGGAATATCAGTTCATTTGAAGGGGAAATTAGAGCCAGGTGTTTCAATCAATGGGATGATAATCAGGTGTGAATGTGGGAAGTCCTGCATTATTTAACAACAGATTTCTGGCAATTCACTGTCAAAAGCTGATCTCACAACACGGGTTTGAACAAAGGAAATTGCTGGGGACTGCTAAAAAAAAAACCCAACAATTTGCCAGGCTGGAAAAGATTATGAAAACTATTTCCAAGGAATTTGGACTCAATCCACTAATAGGCAGATTGTGCTCATATGGAGGTAATTCAACACTATTGTTAGCTTCCCTCAGAGTGGACAATCGGCCAAGATCACACCAAGGGCAAGATGTATAATATTCCAGGAAGTCTCCAAGAGCCAACGTAATATCTACAAAAGTTAAAGGTGCACTTGTTGGTGTTTATGAGACTCCCAGCAGGAGAACCCTGGACAATAGCTCGCATGGCTGAGTTGCAAGGAGAAGGCCACTAGCCTCCAAAATGAACATTGCTGCCTGTCTACAATTTGCAGGAGAAAAAGGTCACAGCATGGATAATAGTTTGATAAAATCTGAGTCTAAAGGAAGAGTGTGAGGTGGAGAAAACATCTCAAAATGGACCTTCCTTAGTTCTTTTGAGGGGAGAAGTACTTGTATAGTTGAAGATTCTGTTTCTGTAATCTCAATAAAGATATTGTTAATATATATAAATAAAGATATATATAAAATGAATAATATATATATATAAAATATATAAACTGAACAAGGAGAGATTTAACCTGGAAATAAGGAGAAACTTTCTGACAGTAAGAACAATCAACCAATGGAATAGCTTGCCCTTGGAAGTTGTGGGAGTGCCATCACTTGAGACTTTCAAGAAGAGATTGGACTGCCATCTGTCAGAAATGGTGTAGGGTCTCCCACTTGGGTGGGGGGGTTGGACTAGATGGCCTACAAGGTCCCTTCCAACTCTGATTGTCTGTTATATATGGTTGGTGTGTTTTCTCTGGGCTACTGGAAGTGGTAATATGGAAGACCATGTGGATAAGCCAGAAGCTATTGGAAGAATATACTGACTTGAATGAATGCATTCCAGCATAAGATTCATATCATATGCTGAAATGGGTTACAAGCACAATGAATTAAATATTTTCAGCCATAGTTATCTTTTAGGGCAACTTAATTAATTTTTCTTTTTTTTAAAAAATGAACAATGCATTATGTCTCATTCATATTTTCAAGAACAATGCTTAATCTACAATCACAGGATGATAAATTCTTACAATATAGTTCTTAGCAATTAATATGTTTATGAAAGGTTTGTGCACAACTTTGCTTCCAAAAATACAACCCAAAATATGGATCAGATATGTAGACAACACCTTCACCATAATTTTTTAAAAAGGTCCAATTAGAGAACACCCAGAGAACCATCAACACCAGTTTACCAAAGAACAACTTACTACCTATCCTGGCGGAACACATCCATGAACTAGTGGTGAAAAAATACGATGAAAACTCTTTACTTAAACAATATATGGACAGATTTGATCATAATTTCAGTTGGGAAACTGTGACCATCCTAGACCAAGCCGAGTACAATAATGCTACCAAATTTCTAGAATCCTGGCACTCTTAGACTTAGAATAACTTTATTGTCATTTTGAATGTACACAAATTGGCATACGTTAAAATGAAATTTTGTTGCATACAGCTCTCAAAGGCTCACCACCTCCAATATACATAGTTCATAAACGTGACAAAATAAATAAATACAAAATTATATATATACTCACATATATTATATGACACAGACAAACATCATAGTCTAGTTCCAATGTATACATGTACATGGCGAGAAAAACGAACTTTGCAAGTTTACCAAACGCATGGCATAGGAAATAAACCTATTATAGAATCTGGTAGTCCTGCTAGAAATACTTTGAATCCTCTCTGACAAATTAGCCATCAATGGACATATAAACATATAAAATATCTACATATTATGCAAAAGAGAAAATGAACAAGCTAAAAACAGAACAAAAAGACCAAAACACCTCCCCACCAGCAATCAGCACCCAGAGCGGTGTAGATTAACTGCAAGATTAACATCAGACCAACAATCAAGTCAACAATACCCCAATCAAGGAACCGGCAAACAAGCCAACAGTAAACAGCCCTCCAAGACCATCTCCACTAACACTGACAAGGCTAGAATATAAACTGAGAGCAAACCCCACTTCTTACCAGCACTGATGATGTTGTCTAGTTTGGGTAATGAAACGTCTGCAAGAAAACAATCAAACACAGAGAACATCAAGGATCCCTCCGTTAACAATTAAAAACAAAAAGCTAAAAATACAAACATAAAATAGCAGCTGAGCAGCAACACAGAACAAAATATCACTGCAGCAAAGAAACTGATTCATCCACATTACTTGCAGTACTTCCTTTGATGTACCTAAATTTAGCGTGCACACACAATATAAATTTGCTTGTCTGAAATTCAAAAAGTTGAAAATTTCCTCAAAAGCCTACATAATATTTTTAGAAAATACGTAGTGTACTTTTTACTATTTGTAGATAACAAAATGAACCAAACTCCCATTAAGTCCTATTGCCCCAAATTTCTACATCAGTTCTTTCTGCCCTTTTGTTCTTTCAACAGTCTATTTTAAATTGTGTTGCTGCACCTATAGAAAAAGTTGTTCACTCTGGAATGAATATGGAAGTCCCTTACTGATTGTTAACATATTAAGATTCCACAATCAATAGGTGTGTGTGTGTGTATGTTTTGTGTGTGTGTGTGTGTGTGTGTGTGTGTGTGTGTGTGTATGTATGTATATATATATATATATATATATATATATATATATATATATA